CCGCCTGCAGCTCTGGGAGCTTTGGAAAAAAGTGGGAAGGGGCACGGCTTCTCGGCAGCAGCCTCGCAGGAGGGCGCGTGGAGGTCTCCTGGAGGGAACAACTGCTCCTTCGGGCAGCGTGACGGTGCCTTTCCCGCAGCAAGCGGAGGGCGTCACGCCCACAAAGCCATCAAACCAGGAGGGAAGGCACGAGCCTCCGGAGGCCTCGCAGGCAAAACGGGAAGGTGCCTTTCCAAGCAGGACGTGGATAACGTGTAGGTATAAAAGGGTCCCAAAAGCATGAGCTTCACCATCCTTTTGGCAGAGCCCGAGTTTCTGGACGTCTGATGTCCTGAGGATTCTCACATGGAGCTTCCTTCCCTAGTGTCAGCTTTTCTTCCCACAGCTCATGGACCAAAACACGGTCCAAACCTCAGCTAACAGCCACTGATGCCACCCGAGCTTTGGAGAGCCTGGCGTATCGAGAACAGTACTTGTCTACCTACCGAGAAACCAGTATTTTTCCCCACTTAACTGTGTTTTGATGACTGGCCCAGTTCTAGAAGAACTGGACGAGCTCCACTGAGCAACCTCAACCAAACCTGGCAGGGGCAAAGGGAGAGACAAACACAGAGGGGAAGCTGCTGGTAAGTGACTGGGAGTTACCGTGCTGGAGTCACCTTTTCCCTGGGACACCCTCGTCAGGAACGGGACACAACTGGACCCTGGGTCCATGAACAGACGAACACGGGCACTGTTAAAAAGCTTAAAGCTGCGCGTGCCCTGGCCTCGTGCAGAAGGGCGCAACTGAGAAAGAGGGTTTTGCCTTTGTTAGTCTGAACGGGGAGCTGGCGTGTCGGCAAGGGGGCAATTAGCTGGGGTGTAAAGAGCAAGGCTCTGCCTGCGGACTTCAGGGAAGCAGTTTCCCACGTTACCCTGTTAGATTTTAAAATAAAGGCACCTCTTGCTCTGTAGGAGAGACAATTCCCACTCCAGATTTTGGCTGCTTCCTCCTCCCTCGCCCGCACACTGCCAGCCAGGCTCACCTCCACCCAGCAGCCGGAGGGAGGGTCTCGTATTGAGACAAGTCCTCGTCACGAAGCCCAGCGAGTTCAACCCCTCTACTCCGTCCCTCCTCTGGCACAGCCAGCTGCCTCTGGGGAGGCCCAGACTAAGAGGCGTCACCCAGGAGCGCCAGGAGCCACGGCAGAGGAGGTGACAGATCTCACCGCTCCCCAACGGGAACACGCAGCCTTACCAGAAGCATAAAAGTCAGGGTCGAAGTATGCCATGAGGAAGAAGTTGAAGACAAGCAGCAGGAAGCCAGAAAACGTTATCAAATTTGGGGCCAGCCAGGTAGGGAAGATCTATGGGAAAGCAGCAAAAGAACACGTGAACTCACAAAACACGTAAAAAGGACCACGTGCTGCTCCCAGCCACGGAGCAGACCTGGTCCCAGTCGCCTGGGTGTTAGGGCAGCACCGCTCAGCCGCGTCTGGCGGACCGCGGGGCAGCGGGAAGCTTTAGGCTGCGACGCAGGGAGCTGGGGGCAGGCTGCAGGCGGGAAGGCAGCGCCCTTTGTCATTAGCGGCAGCACAAACGAAGCAGGGCTTTTCAGCTGGCAGCTTTACAGAGAAGGCTTCGGGGTGACGGGAGTTTTCGCTGTCCCAGCCGGGGCAGGACGAGGTCTCACCTTCACTATCGTGTTCCAGAAGGGATGCATGACGTACAGAGACAGGGGGTTGCTGTCCACGGCACTATACTGCGAACGACAAGGGGAAAATGGAAAACAACAGTGAGGGCTCCAACTGCAAAAAGCCAGAGATCCCGAACATCGGGCTTGCCGTGCGGTCACCCGCTACACGAGCCTTGGCACTGCAAGGACACGCGGCTCAGGGATGGGGTCTCACCAGGGACGGTGCTAAACCACCCAAAAAAGCACCCACCAGCTCCAGCGACGCTGGCCACGGACCCGCAGAGGCAGCTCTCGGGTGCCCATCTCCTGCCTGGCCCCCACCCCTCCCCTCCCCAGGGAGCAGCCCCACGAGAAGAGCGGGTACCAAGCCCCCTGCG